TGAGCTTCTTTTGATGCCCTGTACTCGTTTAGTATTTTGGGTACATTGTATTCGTGCTGAATAAAAGGAAAGCTAAAGTAGAGAGTATTAAAGAACACTCTGTGATAGCTAAAAGGCGGCACCCACTCTCCAGCATAGCGCCCCGCCCTCCCCCGATTAACGGGGGTATCTTACAGTCGCAAGTAAAATTTACTATACTTTTTTCACCAGTCGTTTTCGTGCTCATCGCGCAGGTGGCACTGCGGTTGTGTGAGAGCATTCGCCGTGTGTGATCTTTTTTTTTTTTTTTGCTGGTTTTACCTTTGTTTTTGCTCTAACAAATAGACTTTAAATATTTTTGGCACTAAATTTATCTATGCCATCGTGTGGGCGTTCGCACATTCACAGTCATGTGGAACGCGGACACGTGGTCCCCGACAGATAAGATTTATGCCGAACTGCGAAAGGGACTCCCAGGAATAATGTAAATATTTTGCATGGGATCTGTGTGGCTTTTTGTTAGAAAGTTTCCAAAATTATCCATTTCTGTGTCAAAGAAGCATTCATTCATTCGGTATTTTTAGCACGTCTTTGTTGGGTTATGGTTCCTCTATATCCCTACCGCTTGCTTGATCTGTTTCCCCAAACGATTCAGTTGAGATGAAGCGAACGTCAAGTGGTCAAATCTCTTTTCGCTTGTGTAAGCACGAATACTTTTAGAATTTGGTGGAATGAATGGTAGGCCGTTTATTCAAACCACAGAAGGAATCAACAGAGAGTTTTACAATCTAAGATATCGTTTGAAAAGCAGAAAGTTCGGACAATATAAATACAAATAGATTATCCATCGCAAAGTTTAGTCAAATCATATTTATTTTTAACGTTGTTAGTAATTACTTTCCCTTTAATATCTTACTAATTTGATATATTTATGCATATCATTTGAGTAGTCCCTTGAAAACTACAAAATACAATTTGGAGCAGGGCGATTCCCTTGAATGTGGTTTAACTTTTTGCATATTTCACAGCAACAAAATAAACAACAAAAATGTATATAAAACTTAAGCAATTTTAACTTCTTTGGCGAAACGTGGTGTTTTTTTTTTTGTTAGTTATATATGGCTGGGAATTTGTAACGAAAAGTTTTACATTTCGCAAATCATTTTTAACACCTGCGGCAGGGTTAAAGTTCAGCCAGCGGAAAAACTTTGCAAATTAGGAGCCCTGCAGTAGCTCCACCTCACTTTCTTTCACTGTTTTTCCCTCTCTGGCTGCTATTCAGATGTTTATATTTCGCTCAACGTAGATTTCATTTAAAATGAGTTAAACTGTTAATGGTGCATTGATGGAGAACGAAACAGGGTTGGTGGAACAAATATTCCAGGCATGACTCGTAAATTTGTAAGCTGCTGTAGGAGCAGGACCGGGAGCAGGGTTTAGCAAAACAGATGAAAGATAACCCTGCCGGACAATGCGTATCCATGCGCCCACACACCCAAGCACACGCACATGTCGGGGTCACCAGGCAAATCAGCTAAACGGCCACGTTGCTGACCATAAGCAAACGGTGAAGATTTACGACCAACTAATCGACGCAGGCAATCCCATAAATCTAACAACAGTTCGAATGTCAAACGGCCAAAAGGGCAGCGAGGTGAGTCCGAAGCCGAAACTGAAACCTAAGCTGAGATCTCTGCCAAAAAGGCAAATTAAAGTTCAGACCCAATAAATGTTAATCGGTTGCTCTTTGTCTTCCTCTCCCCAGATGCTCTGCCTTTTTCTCTTATACTACTTCTGTTTGGCTCTTATGGTTTCCTATGATTCCCACCTAAGGCCTTGTTTAGTTTGCCTTTTTGTTTTAATTTTTGAAAGTCTTATAAATATTTATTTGCTAAAGAACCTTTTTGGGATAAGAGGATTATGTTTTAGGGCTTACTTCCGCCGCACTAGCAGCATTAAAAAGGAATTTTTTACGTAGATTTGAAAGTGTTTCCTTGTTCATGTGGAATTGGAAAACCAATCTATAATCTATTTTCCCTTAGCTCTTTATACTGTCTGCCCCAGAGAGCTGTCCATCAGGCACTGTCATAAAACTGTTTTTAGCCACCAAACAAAACTGTCCCTTGGGTTTGCATGAGTAATTAACTTTTGTAAAGTCCAATCTAGAAAGAAAAAAATATTGTTCCCGTGTTTTCTCCTCCACGTTCGTTGTTTAGGGCAGGTGCCAATGATGGCAAAATGTTGTTGAATTTATGGCCAATAAATTAAAAAACTTTTACACCGCTCAACAAAAGTCAACAGGGGAGTGGGTGTTGTACCAGTGTCTGTGTGTGGGCTGTCGCTTTCCCCAGCATTTTGCCAACATTAATTGAAAATGGTTGTCTCGAACAAGTGTTCCGGAGGAGCATATCAAAGGCAATTACAGATGCCGTTAACAGCAGCCAAATAGCAGAGAACACGAAAATCCCGAAGGACATCTCTTTGCTCATCTCATTATTTAGTTAATTATATGTATAGCTTGTGTGCCGGCAATTACAACTCAGATTTCATTGTTGGCCAGAAACCATTTTGCGGCCTAGTCGGTTGCCATCAAAGATGATGTTGACGTTGTCCATGAAGAGGCAGATACAACTTTTCCACATTGCCTTTGGCCCCACCGCAAACTTCTAATTAATTTGAAAGGAAACATTGGAGACGAGACGAGACGGCATGTTTTGTGGCTTCAGCCACACACCCACTCACCCACTCACGTACGAGTTCGTCCATGAAAAGGGTCCTGCAATAGACACACGACATTGGCAAACGCCCCAGAGGAGGGCCCCCAAGTAACCTCATTAGAAGGCAAACCATTAAATGGACCATGGTAAAGCCCCCACTTTTCACTACATTTTACCAACAAAATAAAGACGAAAACGAAACTGTTTATAAATTATGCAAAGCTGACGCTGAATGTCAGCTTTAACCGCCTCCACCCCAGTGTCCCTCGTACGACTGCAAAAAAAGAACCTCCTCGAAAGCTGTCAAAACTATCTTGGCCGGCCGAAAGTTTTGGTCCGTTTTTAAGCCAACTTTACTCTTAACACATTTAATTAAGTAGCGGAAAAAAGAAGAGATTTTGTGGCCCGAAGAGCCGAACACAATGCATTAAAACTGAGCAGAAAGTGAATTTGTTGGCCATGCAACTTTTGTTTTGGCCAATCCATTTCCGTTTGGTTACATCATTGCAATGGCTTATAGCATTCTCTGCGCCCCACAAGCCCCTCACCCAGCAATGTTTGCAAATCAGCTTGTGATTTGCCAAAAGCCTCCTTGCACACAGCTGGAAAACAGAAAACAGAGGCAAAAAATTGAAAACTTTCTTCGTCGGGTTTTGAGCTCGGTGGAAATGTTTGTGCAGTTTTGTTGGCAAAGTTTTTAATAAGCTTAATGTAGAACTGTTTTTTTTTTTTTTTTGGTAAATTTGTTTTTTTATTTAAACTGCATTTTAGTCTTTATTTTATATATTTTATAGTTTCATAGTAAGTCGGGTATTAAAAGTTTGAGCTGCTGTTGAATTTAAGAATGTGGGATAAATTCCTGCGGAAAAGTGATTACTAATTGATGAAATTGAAAACCTTTTGCTGCTGACTGGAGTACTAAATATGAACTTAATGGAATGTGTGGGGAATGCCTATGCATCTATGGACCTCATGCAAGGGAAACAGTCTCCAAAGTAGTATATATATATTTTTACTCAAGGAAAACTATTCACTCTGAAAAAAGTGTATGTTGTCAGCAGTTTTCTGTTTCGCCAGTTTTCCACATTTAATTTTAACTGCCGCTGCAGCATGATTTCTGTGCTCTTCAGCAGATTTCAACCAGTTCGGAGATGTTTCCGCCAGTTAGTTGGTCAGTGGGAAAAACTCTTGGGGAAAATACTACAGATTTAAGTCAAGAACGAAACTGACATCTTACCTGCTGGTTAGCAACGAGCTTCATTATAATTATGCCATGGGAAACATGTCGGGCGAGAGAGCTGACATGACAGCCGCACGCTAAACCAAATTCGCTGGACGGGAAGGAGCCACAAGGATCCAGAGGCACAGTTCACAAAAGGGAGAGTGGGAGTCAGCATAAGTAATTAACCGAGTGATAAAGAGCCTGGGGCAACGTGGCAGGACGAGTGTATCATTCAAGGCGACGACAACGTCTCGTCATTAGCGGCCAAAAATGCTGCATTTAGTTGTACGCTTGATGAATAAGGTTAATTTCGTTGGTATATTCTGATAAATCCGAATACGAGTTTGTATGTATGTATTTGTCCCACGGCGACGATGACAGGACCTGACCAGGACACATTTTTCGTTTGTCCACTAATTGCATATCTGAGGAGGCTGATGATTGCGATGATGATGATGATGACGAGGCAGCAATACAATTACCAAAGTCTCCTGCTGTGTCTGTGATTGTGTAGGGGCTCTGTTTTGATGTCCTGGCCAGAGAATTATTTGGGCAGTCCCTTTCATACACACGTATAGAATTCCAAGTCTTAGTGTCTAATTAAAAGCAACAGCAACTGGCCTTTTAATTTATGCCTGTTCAGGGACAAGCCACTGAGAAAAATAAAGAAAACCTCCTTACAGCGCACTCACATTTGGCTTTTCTTTTCAGGATTTACATGTTTTTCGTGTACTGAAAAGTTTTCAGCATAAATCGTGGCCAAAGCTCGTAATTCGCATCTGTGCCAGAGGTGAAGCTTATGGGAGAGACAGCCCTAAGGCACTACATATACACATAGACAAATATATGCTTTGAAGAGGTCTTTGGTACAGTCACTTCTTGGCATTGCTGAAACAAAAAATACAAATTTACGTCTCCAGATGGTTCATTGCCTAACGGGCTTGTGACGTAGTAAATGTTAAAAAAAGATTTAGTAAATCCAAATAGGCCTAGAAAAATTACATCTACTTTCATTCCTATTTAGTCAGTATCTCCACCTCAACGAGACGGGACTGTTCAAACTTTCTAGTAAATAAAAAACCAACAAAATTCTTTGTATTTTGTAACAATATTTTGAGAGCTAAATTCAAAGTGCAGCAAAATGGCAGATCCAGATGCTCGGGATGCCGAAACCGTACCGCCACCCATTGGCGGGGAAAACAATCTTAACATGAACAATGAGCGTTTGGATTGCGAGAATCTTGGTAAGGAGGGACACTGACAGTTCTCTCAGTAGAAACTTAACAGAGAAATTAATCTTCCAATTAGATGAAATGACTGAGCGATTGATCAATCCCGATAGGCCGGCATTTCCATCAGTGCTCCTTCGCTTCTTTGGAAATATATTTGGTTAGTATGGCGTGAACATACTCAGAAGTACCATATTTAATGATTCCCTTCCCTGTTCAGTTGATTGCTTTAGGGCCATATTCGCCTAAAGGAACAAATTCGTGAAGAAATCCTGGATAATGCTGTGAAAAAACAACTTTGGCCGATATATTTTCCATGCTTATAAAGCTCTTTATATTTAAATTTTATAATATGTTGTTTTGAAATTGTTTGGGGTATCCTAAGTCTTTCGGCCACCCAAGCTGCGTTTAGTGGCAAGCGATCTCGTCGAGAGAGGGTGGTTTGCAATGGCAAGGCGTGCTATCGATCTCTTCAAGAAGGTCGGATATTTCGTGGAGGAACTTTTCCAGGTTCTCGGGCTTCTGGAAGATATTACTGTCCACTGCAAGCCGCTTGCCGCCTAGTATCTTCCAGCGACGCATGCTAGCAATGACATCGCCACAGAAGTCCCGTTTGTTCTTCTCGAGTAACTTCAATTTCTCCTGCAAGACCTTGAGACGCTTTTCTGCAAACGAAAAGGGATACTTCTACAATGAAGAAATTAATTCATGATACCGATTGACTCACTTCCGGCTAATTTTTTGTGGAACTTTTGGGCGTGGGAATCCCTCTGGGCCTTGTCGTACATCTCAATGATCTTGTACATTCGTCGGTCCATGTCCTTGCTGAGGCGCAACGCCTCCTCACAATGCGGCGGACAGAGACTCTGAAAGTTGGGACCTTTATACGGAACTCCCGTCAGGTGTCTGTTATTCCGGAAGTTATCCCGCTCCGCCTGGGCATCAGCGCTCCGTTTGGCCATGTACGATCGCACCCGACCGTTGTGGAAACGAAAATTGAGACTCGCCAGCAGCTTCTCCACTCGCGACAAGCACCTGTGGAAGGAGACAGAGTTTTGGAAGCGATCTACACACCGGATCTGTACTCACGTTGTGTTCTTTAGAGAGTAGACGCCGGGTATCGAGTAGGTGCGCAGCAAATGGTGCAGCTTGAAGGCCACACAGTTGAGTAGTTCCTCGGCCGCACAGATCTGCATATGCCGCAGGCTGCGCATATCGTGGACCGTGTGACGGATCCACCAGCCGCGGAACAAAGCCTGAATCTTGGTGGCCGCCTTGGTGTAGTGCATCTCGATCCGATTCTGCAGCATCTTCTCCACGGTCTTGAAGTAGCTCTTTCGCACTGAAAAGCCTCGCCACCAACGCTGAATGGTAATGGCCGCCTGGTTGCGCTTTTTCAGTGTTTTGCGACTGAAGAAACCTCGCCAGTGCCGCTGGATGGTCCGTGCAGCCTTGAAATGCGTGTAGTCCAGCAACAGCATCGCGGTCCTGCGGGCAATCTCAAGGAAGTGTCATACGCTCTATGACCTATTCAAGATCCTCCTTACCGCGACAGCGTTTGCAGTGGCAGCTGTGTGCCTGAGGTATCCTCCTCTATTAACTCGGACTCATTGTCTTCCACCCTTGAATAGTAAAAGTTATAGTTGATTCCAATGAGTTGGCTGTGCTTACGAGCTTCCCGAGACCGGCTTGCCGTCCGTGTGCCTCCGCGTGCCGACTTGCGTCCGATGCCTGTCCCAGAACATGTTTGTAAGTTTCTTAGTTCCTCCCGTGATGTGTTTTCTGTACCTAATTACTGTTTTATACTGTTTCCATGAGTAGTTGTATGTTCTATAACTGAATTTAGTGTTGATTGTCTCCCAGGGCTATTGAAATTGACAGACATCACAAGGCCTGTTAGGAAAATCGGACTACTTTCATGAAGATTGGCCATAATTTATGGACACGAACGATTATTTTCATATAAATCTTGGCCTCCATTGTGCGGTGGCTCCACTGAGGGGGCTGGGCTGACATTTTTCGCTGTATCAACACGCTTATCGCGATTTACGATGCAAATATGTCTCCTTCTGGATGTGTATCCTGCTTGCCTGACTTTCTTGGGATCTAGTTAATGCCCCCCCAGTCCCACTTTTAGTTCCTCTAAAGCTGCATTTAATTGAATTGTATGGGGCTCCACGAGGCTCTCTCTACAGCTGAGGCAAATCAATATGACCCATATTTCCAGCCACGTTTCTATAGCCCCGTAGAGATGCCCTTGACTGCATCATTTTCGGCTCTAATTGTGTTCTAATGCTGACAAATGGGGAAAAGGCAACCGAAAGAGAGAGGAAGCAATGACGGAGGCAGTGGCAGTGGCAGTGGCAAAGGCCCGAGGTCAAGTTGCCATAAATTTTCCAACATTTTGGCTGGCAAACCGAAAATGCCATTAGGAGGTGGTCCGAGAGCTGCTTTAAATGAAAATCAATATAACCTACATAATGGCGGGACATTTTCTGTTGGGCACGAGGCAGGCATACAAACCCTGCTCATTATGCGCCACAAATGAACCACACACACACACATAGAGGGGCACACAGATGGGCTGCCGCCACACACAAACAAACGGGCGGAAATGAAACGGAAATTCTCATTTATGGCGCCCTTGACGCCATTTCCAGTTTCCCACTATCTATCTATTGGCCCTGACAAGTTGGCACTGCTTGCTGATTTCTGATTCAGATTGGGATTCCGCTCCTGATTGCAGTAGTAGTGCGACGAGCGATTGCGGCTGCCATGAGATTTATGGTCTGCTCCCTCATGATGCTGCTTGCTGACCCAGTAACTGATACCCAAGGATGTGCCCACATTTGTGTTGGCTCGCCGCAAAGTTACTTGTGCACCGAGCATCTACTATAATTGCACTCACATTACCACTGTCGCTGAGGTTTTCCAAGCCTATCGATTGGGCCAAAACTTTGCAGACTCGACTCCATCCGAAGGTTATCCTGTGGTTAGGGTCCTTAAAGGTTTAGCTGTAAATTAGGTTTTCCACCTGACCGAAATCGAGGCCATGCCACTGGGACAACTTGTTGTTTGATCCCTAATTCAATCCACAGGCAGCAGGCAGCAGGCAGCCTGGAAACGGATTCCTCGCTTGGGTTTAATTGTGGACCAATCAGACGAGATGTCTAGACTAAACGAAACGAAAGGGGAGACTGTGTCAGCTCTTTATTTGTGGAAGGGGTGCGGGGAAGCCTTGTATACGCTTGTGTAAATATTGAAAGGTTCCCCCAGAGTTTATGACACATGCGGAGAAGGGTTAGCGGTACGACCGTTCCCAAATCAAATTGGAAAAGTACTAGCCCGTAGCGAAGCAATGTCCATATATCAAATGGGGCCACAACTCGAACCCCATCCCGCAAAGAGTTTACGACCCAGCACCCAAAAATGCAAACCATAAAATTGTTCTGCCTGTCAGGGGCTGGTGCTAGAAGACAATGCCAGGTGGAGGCAGGTCTGTACAGACTTTGGTCGATGGAGAAACTGAATCCAAAGCCTCTACATCTTTTAGTTGCATGGAACACAATATTTCCAATCATAAACACAAACTCTGTTAATAAATAAACGTGTAAAAAGTGTTTTAATGGATTAGCTGTGGCTGTGTTTCCGGTGTCCTCTTTTGAAAAGCCAGAACAATGGGAGCCTCGTTTGAGTGCCGGTTAGTCCCAATTCAGTTCCGAAGGTTTCAGAAACCCCCTTGTAGCTGTTATATATTTTGTATGGCTTTGTATTTCAAGCAGTTAATGTAAATTCAATAAAGTGTAGCGAATCTAGTGTCCTCTGCCTTCCAAGTCTCAATTGCCCAATCGCCCTTCCGCTTCAACGTCTTCACTCTTTCTGTACGGCTGCAGACCCAGGGGTTGAGTAAACAGGAATTTTCCTGGCCAAACTTTCTGTCTGAGTTTCGTTCTCTCCTCACTCCACCTGATACAAATTTATGACCGACCAAAGTGTAATCAACAACGTAAAACCGGGCCAAGAAGAACCGCCGAACGAAGGAAACAAAACCGTTTGGGGTGGATTTGTTAACTTGGTTAACTGGCAATATTCCCTGGCAGCATGTGTAACAGGTCCAGTGAGAACAGCGAGAAAAACAGCGAACTACGCGCAAGAACTGCGAACAACTTTTGACTGCAATAAAGCAGAGAAGAGTAGAGAAATCAGGTGGGCGGATGGGGACTAACGAAGTTGAAATGCTCTACAGAGATTTGACTCTAGTTCCATTCAATTTAATTGTTCCCTGGAGGAAGCATCTTTGGTTGTATTTCTTTGATCACAAATTAAGCTGCAGTCGGTATATCCAGAGGTTCGAAGTATTCACCATGCCACAGATACCCAAAGTACCAAAAATAATAACTGAATAAATTCTCATCGATCAGCAGGCGCCGCATGAGCAATAGAAGTTCGTCATCCATACGCAAAATGATCCGATTGCCGTCGAGAAAGACGCACTTGATGATGGGAACCTCACTGTGATCTACGGAGTGGATATACATCAAGAGTTGCCTTGTCACCAGGTCCCGGGCCGAGAGCATCTTCTTGGGCGTTGCGATGCGCACCTGAACGCCCCGAAGACGAGCCTCCATAAGGGCCTTGCACAGAGTCTTATGCGATATGGTCATAATTGCCAAAACGACATGGAACTTGGCCCTCTTAATCCTCTTCACTACACGCTGTACCCGGCAGTTCTTGCAGTGCCTTTTATTGCAATTCGAGCGTTTGTGGTGGTCTTCCAGCTTGTCCCCGAAAACTGCCAGCCAGCCGTTGAACAGTATGTAATCTAGGCTGCAAAAGCCATAGAGATAACCATGACTTGAAACGTGTAATTGGTGCAAAACTTACCAATAAGACAGCATTGAAGAAATGCGTTTAAAGTATTCCATTTTGCAGTCGTACTAAATCAGGAAATAAAAGAGTGATAAAAAGAATACAATGAAAATCTGATGTTTCTAAACTTATTTTATGTGTGACGTCTGACACAAAATACAAAGGTATATGATTTGACAGCACATCCATTGGTGCATGAGAATGATTTGCTAGTGGAAGCGCGCTACAATGAGCAGATTCTGGGGAAACTTTAAAAATATTTAACTCTAATAACAATTACTGGAAATTTCATTAGGAATTGCTTACAAATTGTTAACCAAGCCGTGAACTTGCTTCCGAAAATTCTTGTAAACTTTAAAGTGTCATCCCTGATGATGATGCCCCACCGCAAGCAGCTGTAGACAATTTCCTGCTCCCTTTCTCTCTCTCTCTCTCTCTCGCTCTCTTTGTCTCCGAGTATATGTAAAATTTTCCCCAGATGCTGAGAATTGCAACTAATTCCATGAAGAAGCAGCAGTGGTAGCAGCAGCAGCCGAAGGAGGACGACGAAGACAGGGCCCAAGCCAAATCAGTTGCGCTCTAAACTTTTGCAGAACTTGCCACACGCATACACAGAGATCTCTCATTTGGAAAACTTTAAAATTAGTTAAGTTGGAGCCCAGATATCCAATAATGCAGCCCCGAAAATGTGAACAAACAAATTTATCTGCGAGAGGAGACAGGGACCCTCTCCGTGCTTACATTTGAATGGATTGGTCCTGGTCTGGGTTGGGATTCAGTTTGGGTTTGGTCATGGGTGGTGGGTTTTGGTGCGGGGGGATACTCGTATATTTGCATCAACTTTTGCCTGCTTGGGTGCGCTTTGATGTGGCCCCAGACTGCGGTAGACTCGTACTCGTACTCGTACTCGTACTCGACTCCTCGGCAGCAACAAACTTGATCAGAAACTTTCAATCAAATTAGCCCCGATGCATGCCCAAGCTCATGCATGTTCTGGTGCCAAGAAATGGGATGGGAGAATCCTGTTAAAGTTTTCATCTGGGTAATGGATGTTAATTATTTTTAGTTGGTCTAATGAGGAAGCCCGGAGATACTCTCGGCCCCATTGTCTCCTTAAGCTGCTGTGCGGGAAAGTGAAAGTGCGGAGGAGTCTGCAGCTACTGGAATTTGTGCGGAGCAGCTGGGAAAGAAGTTAAAAGGACAATTTACCGTCTCCTTGGGCTTCTCATTCGCCTTCTGGTTGTGCTCCCACTTCTGATGCTGCTTCTGGTGGTGCTTCTGCCTCTGCACTTTGCCTTGGGAATGCATGAAAGGGAAAAGCACAAAAACATTTCACGTTTCCAACTTTGTTCGTTTTTTCTAGTTTTCCTTTCGAGCATTCCCTCTTCTCTTGTGGGTTTTGGGGTTTAAGCCATCGCAAAGCAGTGCACTGCCAACGAAATTTAAGGAGATGCCATGGTTCGGGAATGTGTTGGGGGTTCGAGGTTGGGGTTGAGGTTGGGGCTCGGTTGGGCGTTAAGGGTTGAAATTGGGGCTGGCTGGTGGCATGGCCTCAACTTGAAGCAAAACACTTAAGTTTTAACCCAAATTGTTGCCAACAAAGCGGTTAGTCTAACATTCTTTTTGAGACAATTTTGCAAAAAACTGCTTTCCAACATGAGAGTAGACCACCCACACACAAACAAACGAACATATGTGTGTACGGATGGATGTGTGCATAAAGCAAGCTGTGAACATCTAAAGAGTAAACAAGGCATCCAAAGAGCCAAGGGGCAGCCCTGGATCTGCCCCAAAGCTAAGTAACAATAAACGTTTCAGAGAGCAGCGAGAGCCTGTGGCGCTTGGTCCTCACAAGACTTTGATATCAAGACAGAAAAGAGTTCTTAGGTGGGATTTAGGCTATATTTCAACTTCAGTTAAGCACGGTAAGGATTTAGGTTAAGAGCGAGTCTGGGTTGGGGGGGTGGGGGGGGGTGATATCAATGAGAAGAGCTATCCTTAGGCCATAATTCATACTCAAAGCAAAGAAAAATAGAGAAATAATAAAAGATTGGGTAATAGAAAGAGCAAAACAGTGCTTAAAAACTAGACAATCGCCTGGATGGGCGACATATGTATGCAAAAGGCCACTCACATGTTGGACCAACTATTATTGCCCACTCATCACGCCCGTCCCCCTCCCGCCACCACTCAAATGCCCGCGGTAGCTCCTGGCTGTGTGGTAGCCATGTCTGGCCTGCCTGCCAGCGACATGTTGACCTTAAAAAACTTGACGTGTTCAAATGTTGCAAAACAACTCGAGGGCTTTCGACTTGAGCACTTTTTCTGTTCACTGTTCGCCGTTCGCCGTTTGCTGTTCGGTTCGTTTTGCTTTTGATGATGAGGACGAGGACGAGGACGAGGATGGTATATGGCTGTATGCTCCTCTCTTTTCCTCTTTTAATCTGTGCTCCACTGTGTGCGTGTGTGTGTGTGTGCGTGTGTGTCTCTCCATCCCGTTCCGACTTTCTGTTTGACGCACATGAAGTGCCGCTCTTGAAATATGCTTTTTTTGAGTTTGGCCAAAGGAAAAGCAAGCGGGGGAAAATTGAGGGTGTTGTGGTACCACCACAGGCGGGACAGGGTGGTGTGGAAAATGTGTTTTGACAAGTGTCACTTATGCATTGCTACTATGAAATATCCCAAGCCGCTTTCGCTCGCTCCTGCCACATCGAACTGCGGCTTGTTGTTGCAACTGCAATTGAGTCTAAGAGGGGGGGCGGGCCACATGGATGTGTGTGTGTGTGTCTAATCAATACCATCTAATTTCGAGTGAGCCGTGAGGGATAGAAATATGTTCAAAGGATGTAATTAATTTGATCAGAGCAATGGCGGCTTCTGTAGGCTAGAAAGCCTGTATAGAGAGTAGAAGCTGTATTTACTTTCCAAAAATAATAAAACTAATCCTCTCTTATATAAAAATTTTGATTAGTTCCATCTACAGCCAATTGATAAAATCCCTTGGGGTACGACGGGAAGCACTACACAAATTACAAAAAACCAAATCCCCATAGAGCTGGCAAGTTTAGAGCCAGCTCCCAAATCGGGGCTGGCAGATAACCCGCTCCGTGGACCAAGGCATTTGGTATGCGAACCTTTTTCGTGCTTAAATTTCACAAATAGATGGCACACACAAAAGCCGTTCGGCACTCCAGGGACATTGCTATAAATATTAAAGCAAAGTGCGCCGACTGCGCTGCAAGAGAATATTTAATATATATATATATTTTGATATAAATTTAAGGCCTTCGCTATTCCCTGGGCAAGTCGGCTCATGGGCTCTCGCGGCGTATACGTAATGCGGCCATTAATATTTAGGCCACGCTAAAGATTTGTACGATACAAGACTTTAAAGAAAGGCTCTTAAGTCGGCGCTTAGTTCAAAGCGCAACTTCTCTCAATCGTCCCCAGGGTCTCAGTCATTTGTCAGTGGGTTAAAGTTTTCCACGGAAAACTGGAGCAGAGCGAGTCCAACGCTCTGTTAATTAGCATTTTACCGCAATCAAACGGGGTTCACCACTCTGTTCGCTCTCCTAGGCCCCGTGGCCGGGCTGGCAAATGGCAAATTGGAATGTAAAATGCGATAGATGTGGAGCCGGGTTGGCTGTGCCCAGGCCATCTCTGGAGGAATTAGCCTTCCTTGGGTAATGTGCTTTTCAATTGCTGCTAATCATGAAATATTTAAGCCTATCCCCTGGCGGAAATCTCTCTGGAATTGTTATATTTCGGCTGGTAATGAAATACTAAGAAATCATAAGAAATGATCAGAGGTTCGTGGGGATTGAGGAGAGTTTTCTGGGGTCGTTTGGTTTTGGAATGTAGTTTCCGCTTTACCATTTGTTTCATTAGCTATTCGCACTTTTCAAAGTTATATGCGATGGCAAATGGGCTCCAACAATTACTGCAACCACTAAATATCAATCCTCCCCTCTCCCATGCTTCGACTATTGGGGGTATTAGCATAACAGACACTTTGTAGTGTCCGCACTTTGCCGGTCTTCGGTGCCTGCCGCCTCTCCCGGGCTCTACTGCATAGTTTTTCACACCTTTTGTTCACTCTTGGAATTTTCTTTCCCTGTAGTTACACAATGACATTTGGGTCAAATGCGTATAAATTTTAAGGCGAAACATTCCTTGTGGGGCTGCAACGTTTGGGACCACATTCCCGAACAGACAGCACCAGAGGGAGAATGGAGTGGCTTTTTTCCTTTGGATAAAAATCAAAGGCAAGTGGAAATTGAGATCCAGAATGGGAAACGCTCAAAAGCAATTACAAATTCCGGTTGTGTCATTCTCGGCTCTGTCGAAGCGGAAGTCATTATCGTGGCAAACAAAACCTAATAGAGATGGGAGTATATGGTATATATCCCTAAACATGCCTGTCCTCTCCCCAACCCATACCCAGCCCTCGGGCAAACCGCAGTAACAACAACTGTAACACACCATTACATACATTTGCGACAACTTGGGCGGGGTTCCGGGCTTGAGTCTGGGTCTGGGTATTGCTGGCTTTGACTACACACGGCTACACGGCTACTGGTTTTGTCCTCATTATCGAGTTAATTATGTGTGTGTGACCGTCTTTATCTGAGAGTGTTTGAGTGTGTGTCTGTGGTTGTATCTGTGTATATGTGTGTGCGTGTGACCAAAGGTAATTACAGAAATGCTTCCATTGTTGGCCAATTCGGATAGCTTTTGCCATCCGATTTTGGGTTCCTGCCTCCTTGGCTGTGCTCCTTGTGTGTGTTTGCTCAACGCCCCGTCCCGTCCTGTCCCGTCCCGCCCCGGACCTTTCGTTCCCACATTTGTGCAGAGTTCCCTTGAGTTTTGCACCTTCCGCATCGATTGTAATTAATTTGCAAGGCGACTGCCCTAACGATGTGGTTCGTGGTCTATTTAAAGTGATGAATAGCCCAAGACACGGAGTAAATCTCACTCGTACTGTCTGCTCATTTATGTGGGCCTGTTCTGTGGGCTAGTGATAGGATCTCCGTTTCGAGCGATGGCGGGAATATGTTAACCCATCATTTACACGAAATAATCAAGATTTGGTCCATCTCAGTATCATTGTCGCCCCATCTGTTCGCCTGTCGCTCACGGGTGCGGCGATGGGTAGACGGAGACCCAACTCAATGATTCTGATCCTGAAGGTTAATTACATTTATCCACAACGCAATGGAACCCGCAGGACATTGACTTAATTTCCATGCCGTTTTCCCTACCCTCCCCTCCACTCCCCACCCGCTTCATTCTTTATTTTTTTCGTTTCTGTTTGGTTTTTAATTTTTTTTAAATGCTGGCAAGAAAATGAAGAAAAAGTCGAGACCAAAGTGCTGCCAGCAATTTTCCCTGTCTCTGGGTTCGGTTCGTCTCTCCTTCCCCTCCATCCGCACATCTCTTTATTCTTTGGTATCTTTTTTTCGTGATACTCGTTGAAGCGCCTAAATGGTAATTAAAAATTGTTGCATTGCCGCTCGAATGCGTCCGCTATTTATGTAGTTTGGGGGCTTTCTGTAATTTCTTCATGGATAGCCATCGAGTTTAAGGTTCAGTGGATTAAATTTATGTATTTTATATTTTTTGTGCAAATTCGGGGGATTTTAAGAGGATTTTCTTTCCTAGAAACCATTTTAATCTTTGTTTAATTCCTGTTTAAGCTGGATTCCGCGTTTTAGTGGTGCTTTCAGCTTGTTATCGTTACTGTTTATCGTTGATTAACTATCGTTTACTTATCGATGCTTTTTTGGCTATTCCTAATCAAAATTTTAGCTCTCTTTAAAGTCACTCGCAGAGTAGTACTCTACTCACTTAGTTCTTTCATTGTTCCAAGTTCCAAACTCGGTGTTCATGTACTTGCAACTTTTTTAGATGAAATAAAACACTTTATGCTCAACTCCGAAAAAGCTTCAACACAATTTCGGTACATCGACGGGTATGTACGTATTTGTGGCCACCGCTCACGTGCCATGTCCTGGCCCCAGCCCCACTCCGCTGGGGAACACCTGCCACTGGCCGTGGACTGCCACTGGTACTGGTCCAAATTGCCAAATCGAATGCATTGCCAAAATAAATTCTGATTTGACAGCCAGGCAAGTACGAGTACTCGACTCGGTGTTCGGCAAAGACAGGGCGCCCAGTGCAGCACCAACTTTTGGTAACTAGTATTTTGTGTAAGGTGTCAGCACGTTCCAAGTGAACCGAGCTGATGGGAAAAGGGAAGGCCTTTCTCCTATGCATGATGACGCTGCCAGTGCTGGGATAATCCGCCAGCAGTTGTTGTACAGCTGTTGATGTTGCAGTGTCGCATCCCTAATCCTAATGCACGCAATGGGATGATGGGGCCACCGCAGCAGAGGGTTATGAAACCATATGGCTCAAAGTTATGCATATGTGTGCCCTTTTTCCACTCGTTTTGGCCAATCCCCCAACGTCCTGGCCCATTCAGCCATTGCCAGCTTAAACATATAATTTAGTTACGTCAGGGATTACACAGACACACAGGCACACGCACACACAAACACAAACACAAACACAGGAGTGCTGGAGTGAAAAGGAGACAGCAAGACATCAGGCATTCATCATTCATTGAAAAGGAAACGGCATCAGAATAATGACAAGGAAGGCATTTATGTGGCTTTCTTTTAACTGAAGCCTGATGGGGCCTTCCTTTGACTTGGCTCGCATGCTGAAATGCTTAACTTTTTCCGGCTAAGAGAGCTCCTCAAAGGCAAGAAGCGATAGACAGCCAGTGGGAGATAAACGAGGGGAAAACGGGTAGTCATTCACTAATTATGTTGATGAATATGTATGATGATGTGTGGCGGAGGAAGCTCTCCATGTGAAAAGCGCTTTCTTTTTGAATTAAGTCTGTACAATTAGCAGAACTTCAGGCTTCTAAAGAAACAATAAGCTACTTTAAACAGACAGTGGCATCTCCTGTCCTCTCCCCTCCCTCGTGCCACAAGAGGCAAACACAAATCGTATCCGGCGGATCCCGGTGTCATGCCGAAGGCGGAAGAGCCCGACAGCAGAGCACGGATTCCATACTCGAACCGCAACGGATGGTTGTCGAAACCGATTAGGGGGGGGCTAGCATTGCACTCGATTCGCCCCCTGCGACGAGTCACGACGAGCATGCCACCAAAACTCGAAGTATGCAACAAAATGCGAACTTTTTACAACAATATTTTATGTACTTTGTATTTGCTCGTAGTTTTGGCTGCCGCACCGCCATAATTTTGTCAATAATATTTGTTTGTTTTGGCCATAAATGCAAGTCTCCTTTTATTAGTGGTTCTCCTGTTCCTCTTTATTTCGGCGTGTCAATGGCAGCCCGACCGATATTGATATACGAGCGGGAGTCATGCAATGCGGCAAATGATAAACAGCAACGCCTCCAATAACAGATACAATTGGGCAAGGTGAGGCAGGCAGGCAAGCAGGCGAGCTGTGGGCGGCAATAAGAGGCCAGCAGACGCCCCGAATGAGGTAAGAGTTGGTATAAATAGAAAACCGAATGAAATTAATGCGGTACATGCAATTGAAAGTGAATAAAGTGTGGAAGAAAGTTTGACAGCTCGAAGCAATGATAAAGGAGAGGCATTCAGAAGGGAGATCCCTCAAGTAAGCTCTGAACTGAAGCTAGAGGGTGTCTATTACTAATTACTCTTTCTACTAAACGGCACTGAAGATGTGTATCTTTGAATTCCACCTTTACCAAAGCTGGCCATTAATTGATTATATGAATTCCAATGACTCAAAGAGAAACAGCTAATTTCCAAGCCACAATTAATGATAAAATCACACAAATGTTAAACGATAGATAGAAAGACAGCTGTTCGGGGCTGCATGTTGGAATAAAGTGGACTTGAATGGGTGGAAGAGAGCCCAGTCCTCAACGAACGGTTCGAGGGAACAGCAACGCGTTCCAGTTCGATGGCCAGCAATGAAAGTCTCACAGATCTTACAGGTAGTAGTCATCGACACGAATGAGTTCCGCCACAAAAGCAATTTACATTGCAGTATCTGTAGCATCAGAGGAGGAAAGAGCCCACAGCAACTTGATGATGATTATTGCCACCTTGACCTGGGTGCTGCTCAGCATTATAAGTGAGCCAAAACGAAACAAGGAGCTGCCTTGATAACTAGCTTTCTTCCCCTCCAGCTCTGTTCATTTACTGCTGCAACTATTGGCAGGTGCTCAGGTCGAGGCCGCATCGCCACCAGAGAGAATCCGAATCTGAAGTCCAACAAAACACCCTGCTCTCATTGGATAATTAGCAGGGCCCTAAAGAGTCGACCAATCGACCATGATTAGAAGGATTATTGCCAAAAGGGGGAAAACCACAATAAAGGAAGCGAGAAGCAGTGCAACAGCTGTCGGCGATCATCTTTTCGGCACCGGCCATATGGCCGTGCGCAGCAGCAGCTTCCATTTCCATTTTCCATTTCCGTTTCCGTTAAGTTAATTCCACACGACAGCAGCAAAACAGAAAAGAAAAAACCCAACCAAAAAAGAGGAAAATTCCATGTGTTGCTGTTTCCCCTCTTTTTTTTGTTTAGTTTACAATTTCTCTCAGTTTTTCATTTCGTCGTTTCGCTTCCTTGTTGCTCTGAAAAATATTTCACTTCTTCAGCCATAGGAAGGGGGCAGGAGAGAGGCGAGAGGGAAGCAGACCTGAGATATTTGCTGGAAGAGTTTTCATTTCTTTTGCTGGAAAAGTGAAAAGCATCTTTTATGCAAATTTACCAGTTGGAGCCAGGGAGCAGTCAGCAGGCGACAGGTAGCCGGGTGCGGGGCAGGAAGTCAGCAGGGGCTGGCAGACAGGCGTGGCAGGCCGGAGCTAACATGACTTCCGCTCTTTAACTGGCTTAATGTTCCAAAGGCAAAAGCAAAACAAGAGTTGGGCATACCCCCTCCTAAAAAAGGTAAAAATTATTTGATTAAAGTCGAGTGCAAAGCGGAGCAAAGCTGAAGGTAAACAGATATCTTTGCGACTGCCCCAACCTTATCCGAAGCCCTACAGACATATCATGGGAGGAGGCAATGCCAGGAGACTCCCAAGGCATCAAAGTAAAGGAATTTACATACGAGTACATACGAAAATAGACACATTTGTTGTCTTACTTCTGCCCTTCCCCACTTTACATTCTTTGTGGCTTTTTTTCCTGTATTTAACTCGGGCTTTCGATTAGAGATCTGTATTGAAAGCATTCCGGAAAATTGGAAAATGAAGACAGCAGCTTACACACAAAGCCATCACAGCTGAGGCTCTCCTTTAAAGACTATCTTATCTATCCAGCTTAATAAGTATTCTCCTTTCACTAGTTGAATACCCAAAGAGTCCTAAAGTTCCTGGTTGGAACTTTGACATAAATTTGACAGCACTCAGAATCATCTAGTGGAACTTTATAAGCCTCTTAAAATCCTTCTCTTACAACAAACTTTAAATGTAATCCTCCGTATCCCATTGACGGTGGCACACATCATTACCATTCCCTTTGCGCAGACACTCAGCCTTTGTGAATCTCTAAAATTTCATCAAACCGAATCGATTTGATGAAGGCCTTTGGTAACCCTTCGTCACAGGCCAGAGGTGACTTCCCAATCGGAGGAACTCTTGAGAAAAGTTTTCGCTGGCAGCAAATCAAATGCCGATTATCGCATAGTTAGTTGCACTCTCAAAGGGAATGGGCGCCTGAGGAGTCCGTGGCAGTGGCAGCCAAAATGTTGGCACGGGTCGGGGACTGGCACCGAAAGGAGCCCGGATTCCCCCAACTCTTGTGGGAGAAGCCACGACTGCTCTCTCATTATCGGCGTGTTTGTTTTATGAAGGTCGTTTCCAACAGCCCGCACAAAAGGATTTGGGGCACGCACGCACAGACATCGTCATTGTCGTCACCATTCAGTCGACTCCCGCTCCCGCTCTCGCTCCTCTCCTACCACTTGTCCTACCATTTAAGGCAGCTTCGAAGCCATTTTTGGCATTGTTATCTAGGTGGTGCTATTCCTTTTGCCTGCTCTTGGCCCACTCCTCCATCCGTCTCGCACTTTTCCAGCTTCTGTTGACACTTTTCGTTATTGTTGGCTGTTGACTGGTCCATCCCAATGATATCTTTGATAAATCTCGGCTTTCGCTTGTCCAAGCAACCAAAAATTTGTCTCAACTTGGCCAAGTGCTAATAGGAGCGGAGCCGCCAGTGGGCGGAGTGCGGATGAGTGGCAGAAGGCCGCTCAAGTTCCTCATAATTGCTTATGACGAACAGTCGGAATAAATCTGTTTCCTAGCTTGCCTTTTCTCTGCCACGAGAGTGGGTGGCGGGGCGTGGGTCGGCGGTCGGGGGTCGTTGGTTAGACCTGGAGTCTGGCTCTACGCATTAAATTATTTCTCATTATTGACAGTTTATCAAATTGATTTAACAAACCTCATGGCTGTCTCTGTCGCTCCTCCTCCATTTCTCCCCCTCCCCTTTTAGCCAGCCTTAAGTGTCTTCGTGATAAATGTTATCGTTGTTTGCTGGCCTCCCTCCATCCTTTCCTACAACTTGCTTTCGCTCTCTCTCTCTGTCCCTCTCTTCTAACTAAGCTTAAATGTGCTTTTCCTGCTTTTCATGCTTTTCCTGCTCTTCCTTATGGTGTGTTTATGTGCTTCTGTGTGCCTGTGCGCCTGAGTGTGTGTGCGGAATTTATGTAATGCTCAAAGTTGAAGCATACTTTTCGGCTGTTTGCTTAATGTTTCTACTGCTACCGCTTCTGTTCTCATCCCCCAACAAAATTTTTAGTTAATTTTAGTTTGTTTGCACAGTAAAGTGTGCTCAAACCGGCTGAATGTTTTATTAATTTAAATAAGAAAAGAAAACTTTTCTACTTTTTAAATATGTATATTCCTATCATGAAATAGTAATTCGGGTCGAATGATGCATGGAAGATGGCAACAAATTCTGTATGTATGTGTGTATATACCAAAAGATGAGAACAGTTTTCATCTGGTGAGATTTCTGAGGGCAGTGATAACGGATTAGCCTAGAAATTAGCAGAACTTGGCATAAGAAATCTGTACAGGACGCAGGAGATAAAAGCGAGTAAATTTCGAATAAAATAATAACCAAAAATTATTCAAAATTTCGAATAAGTTTTGAATTTAGAACAGTTTTTGTAAGAACACGAAGAGTGATAATAGATGTAAAGCGCTGTAAAGAATATACTGTTTTGTGAGAACAGTTTTTGTGAGAACAATTGTTGTGGGAATAGTTTTTGTGGGAGCAGTTTCATATTATTAAAACGAGGGGGAACGTTGTGAGTTGCTGCGGACACCGCAACTCTACAGTTATACCCGATACTAAGTCAGTATGGCTCTCCTCCGGCAGACGCCGCTTATATTAATCGACACGACAAAGAGTGCGTGCGAGAGAGACAGAAAATCAGTCTGAGCGTGACGTCGGGCGCTGCGTAGCCAGTGCAAATTGATTTGTTTCCTTTCGCTATAAAAATGATCTGATCTGATCCAGATTCAGCAATCTGATAGATATGGTCGCTATCTATGATTCTGCGTTTTTAGTTTTCTCGAATCTGCAATATTGTGAATGCAACAGATTTTCGTCCTTTGTGGGGGCGGAAGGGGGTGGGGCGAAATTTTGAGATATATGTTTTATAGTGAGATCTAACAGAAGTGCGGATACCAAATTTGGTTACTCTAGCTTTAATAGTCTCTGAGATTTGTGAATATCCCCAGATTTGCATTCTTTGCGGGGGCGGAAGGGGGTGTGGCGAAATTTTGAAACAAACTCGTCTCGGTCCGATATATTAGGAGTGTGGATACCAAATTTGGTTGCTCTAGCTTTTATAGTCTCTGAGATCTAGGCGCTAATGTTTTACTCTAAGCAAAGCCGCCTATGCTACGTGTGTGTTAGAGAGAGACAGGGCGAGAAAAAATGAAATTGTTTTCTTGATGCTGGTTATAATAATAATACGATCCAATTATGATTCTGCAGTCTATAAGATATTGTCATTCTCTACGATTCTGCTTTTTTGGTTTTATCTTATCTTTAAAATTGTGGATGCCACAGATTTTCGCCCTTTGTGGGGGCGGAAGTGGGCGGGGCAAAGTTTTGAAATATTTTTGTAGCAGTGACATATCACAGAAGTCTGGATCCAAAACATCGTTGCTCTGGCTCTTATAGTCTTTGAGCATTAGGCGCTGAAGGGGACGGACAGACGGACAGACGGACGGACGGACAGACGGACAGACGGACGGACGGACAGACAGACATGGCTCACTCGACTCGGCTATTGATGCTGATCAAGAATATATATACTTTATGGGGTCGGAAACGCTTCCTTCTGGACGTTACACACATCCACTTTTACCACAAATCTAATATACCCCAATACTCATTTTGAGTATCGGGTATAATTATGTAAAGTGAGACAGGGGGAATAGCGATGAAAAACTATACTATTCTGTTTAGTGGGAACAGTTGCACGTCTTGTGGAAATATGAAATATTACCAACAAAGTATTAAAAAATAGAAAACCGTGTACAACGTGCGATTGCATACTCAAATCACTGATTTCTGCTCTCAATAGCATTTTTAACTCAAACGGAGCACCGGCAAGCCATTTATCTGATGCGAATTATCAATCAGATCGGAGCTTGTGACCTTTGTTGCCGGGCATAAGGCAATTGCCGGCGCTGCCATGGCAATTGTTCTCATTTCCCCCATTGACAGAGCCAAGAAATATGAAATAATAATGCCAACGGAATCGATGTCTTGACAAGGGACCCTTGCCCCGCGCCCGCTGTAACTACAGGATACTCGTGCTTCAGCGGAGGATGCGTCGATTCAAATGGAATTGCCAGTAGGAGCGGAGCCAAGAAGTGAAGAAGCGAACAGCAAACAACAGTCGAGAGGCGACAGAGAGGAAAGCTGTTTCTGTAAGCAGAAATAATCCGATATTCATTTCCCTTTTCCATTGCCACCATTGCCATTGAAAGCTATTTGTTGTGTACATATGTACGGGCCGAGTAGTCGTACATTTGATGGGCATATTGTACATTGTATGTTTGCATTCATGTTTTGTTGTTCCATTGTAATTAAGCCTTTGTTGGAAAGTGAAGTGCATATTAAACATCTCCCCGGGTATTTGGCAGCGTCTCAAGTGGGACTGCAAGAACTGTACCCTGTTGTTTGCCATTGAATATGATGATTCCTTTCAGGAATGTCACGTCCTTGTTGCCTAGTGCGTCTCCACGAGGTGCAGCTGGGCGGAAAATCATCGTCCCTCTGACTGTTCTTAGTCATAATTCTTTGTTTGTTTTCAAATAACATTTAGACACAAAACCTTTCACTTTAGTCGATTTGTTTTGGTCACTTAATTGCCGACAGGTTTTTTCATTCATAATTTATTCACAATTCCATCTATTTCCATTCGACCCGAAGGAAAATTTCTATTTTCTCTGTTGACTTTTGCATAATTTATGCCTGAAGCAAAACGACAGAAGGAAGATGGTTGAATCCGGAACACGGGATCCTGCCCAAATACATTTGTCCGTGCGTACACATTTTTGAAACTGTCATTGCCAAAATGGTTAATTAAATATTTACTTGGCAAAACAGTGGTAAAACGTTGATTAATTATTTAAAATCTTCTGTCAGAAGTCAGATCTAAACACAGCCCGAGTCTGGGCCAGGCTGGGTCTCGGGCTCTCTTCTGACAGAACGCTTACCATAAATGGAATCATATCGAGATTTCGCAACTGTTGACTGCTCTTGCTGCTATTTGTTGCTGACTGAAAACTTTCTAAAGTTTTTGCCACCCACTCAAGACAGCCCCTGCTCTGCTTTCGTCTCAACCCACTGTGTGATTTTTCGACTTGCCGACACTTGTTTTTCGGGGGGAGGACGCGGGCAGGAGCAGAGACCTCAAGACAGAGCGGTCTAAGTGATTTAGGCTAAAGTTTTTCACCGGAAATGTAGCGAGGAAAACTTTTGTTGTTGCGCATAATCGTTTGCCGGAAGTTGATCAAAAAGGGGGGAATACTTTTACCCGCCGACGATAGGTGCATTATGAAACAATCAATAAATTTACTTGGGCGATTACTTCGCTGAGAACCGAGATGCCTAGCCAAGCACTTTGTCCCCTATCAGGCTCCATGTACAAGTGTATGTGGTACTTATGCTGAGGTTTATGCGACGACAATGACGGCTGCCTCCTCACGTGTGTGTGGCACGTGGCTGTGCTGTGGCAGTCATAATTCATTTGCATAACATTAACGGGCAGGCGGATGTCGGAGCACGAGCCACTTGCCGGGCGTCTAAGCCGAGTTTAAATAAGTTATTTATGGAAACGAATTAACCGTAAGCAGTTAGCCGGAGACAGCTGCAGGACTGCCAGGTGCAGGCATGAAAAGTGGGCCAGGATATGGTTTACCAGGAGCATACCTGTAGCCAGGCACAACAGCAGGAGGGCTGTGAGTGGCCATGGAAGTTGTGTGTTAATAAAGACCTCTAGGACCTTGAAAATACTCTAATGAAAGTCCGCTGATTCAAGAAATAAACTAGTAAAAGTCCGATGTGGTTCCAAGTTCCAATCTTCTCCTCCATCCATGGAAAAATAGTTGAGAGATCTATTGTCCCCTACTGATTCCCCACATTTAAGATTATTTTCCAACATTTACGGGTTAGCTTTCAACTTCATTTAATTTCACAAATCCTTGACATAATTCCATTTCATTTGATCGATCCAAAGCGCTTACTTCTTCAGCAAGGTGGAGACCACAGCGGGGCCAGCGGCATAGGTGGTGACGGGAGCGGCGTAGGCCGAATAGACCGAGGGCGATCCCAGATACGCGGAGGAGTAGACCGAAGGAGCGTAGGCGGAGTAGGCACGTGGATAGGCGGCGGAGTAGGTGGTCACCGGAGCGGCATAGGCCAGGCCTGGGGCTGCGGCGTAGGTCAGGGCCGGAGCAGCCGCATAGGTGGCCACAGCGGGAGCCACAACATGAGCCTGGGCGGCGGCGATGAAGAGAACCAAGCAGATGAGGAGCTAAACAGAACAAAAAGATGAATGAGATTAAAAATATCCTCCTGAAACAGTCCCAGCTGTAAGGCTGACTCACCTTCATGTTGATATTTGTTTTGGGTTTGTGTTGGACGAACGTTCTCAAAGATTGGAGGAAGTGCGTTGACTGATGCCATTCCCCAGAAAGGCCAGGGCTTTTATACCCAATCGAAGATCGAATTTTCAGAGAACAAGTTCTGCAATATGCGGATGTGGTAGCTAATCCGGGCATGCCATATCGAATGGATTAGCATTGTTCGGCTCTGTACAAGCTGCTCAATGAATATGTTCGTTTGCACAGACAACAGCCCTGACAAGGGTCCACGGACTGGCGGACGGAGGGAAGGCAGTAATGAGATCTTGATTGTTTGTCGGTTTGTGTGTGGGTCAAGTCTGGTGACAAGCCAAAAGCGCCAGCAAAGAGCTTTGTTAATGGCGGTAAACGAAAGTGGCGGCAAAGCGGAATCACACAAATATAATTACACTCGAACGGAAAGCGTAAGTGGCAACAAATCATTGTAATTTGCGTCATCAGCAATTGAATCTTTGGCATTGACAGTGAAAATTCATGAAAACGATTGAGAGGACGCCCAAGGCCTGGATCCCGTTGAGTACTCAATAATCGATCAAAAACTAACCGATTTTTCGTGGGAAAGAAGTATCGCTTTCAACGTAAAATATGTAGAGAAAAGTATTGCCAGGAGCTTACTCTCGCGGAAAAGAACGCTGCCAGGAGGCTGTGCTGGACCTAGGCCTAACAAGGAGTTGGTTATATAGAGATCACCGTTACTAGATAGATCCCACAAAAACTGTTGTCTACCTACAAGGAACACACAAATTATACATTCAATTTATGCCTACAACGAAATGTGTCAAAGTCTCTCTGGGGAGCAGACTCACACCCATCCACTCATCCACTCATCATTCCCATGTTCATGTCGGCAGAGCCACAGGACTCTGGTGTCCTGCTCAAATTACCCATATACTTGCCGCTTTGTAACTGTCAGAGAACGTAACGAACCGAACCAAAACAAAATGTTAAACATACGCGAAAAGAACGAGTGTGTGCCGCCTCATGTGGGGGGCGAAGGCTCATTAATAACAATTTATGAGCTGAGACACGAAATTAGTCTGTGACAAGTTTCGCCGCAGGATGTGGACACAACAAACATATATCCATCCATCCGCCCCACCCAGCCACACGCACACACACACATATGTTGCAAGTTCAGTTTTGACTTCGTCTGGGGGGGATTGCGTTAATTAATTCCAAAAGTGTGTTGCGTGTCCTGCCAAAAGGACAAATATGCGTACACGAACTCATGTCCTGTGGTCCGGTTGTTATGGCTCCTCTTTCTATCTTTTCCCCTCCAGTAAATTATGAAAAATATTTCCAACTAAATTTTGGAAGAGCCTCAGAGAGGGTCTGTACCATACCTTTCATTGGAAAAGAGTTACATGAACTTTCTTTTCTTCCCTAAATAATTAAACAAATTTCTGCTGCTTTGATACACATTTTTTTCATAAATGTTCTTTATTCATTTTCCAGTTGGTTTTCAGCTCACATTTTGTTTGTTTTTTTATATTAAACTTTTATTTGCTTTACATTAAGGGGGCAGGGAGCTAACACAAATATAATCATGCTCAAACACAGAATAAATATCCTTCTTTCTTACAAATCAAGGGTTAATTTTACTCAAACTAGATGTAGGATTATGAAAATATATATTATGGATTCGAATATTCTTAGCTTCTAAATCTAAACCAAAATAAAATTTATTTTTTTTAAATTTTGTTTTATTTGTTTTCCAATTTATAATTCGAGTCACAATTCAATTTGATTTTGTCGTTGAAGAAGCACTTTGCATGTTGAGAGGGGGGGTGGGATACATATGTATATAGAAAGATCTTACGGATAGAGCGCTAGATAGAGTTGAAAATTTGAAAATTGTTTTCGGGGCAGGTGGTGGTTGTAGTGGAGACACATTGAACTTTAGTTTGCGCACAGTCCGGCTATGGATACATACAGATCGATCATGCATACATACATATATATATTCATATTCATATCCTATATAGACTTGATAAAGGTTTTTGTTCGACAACAGATTTTTATAAAATTTCATTTCACATTTAACAAAATATGACGATGATTCGATGCACATAAACAATTACATACATGCATATGTACATATTCCATACTATCATATGGTGCTGTATCTTTCATACATATGTATCTAGTTTGCGCCTATTTTCAGATTCCTTTAATGTGGTCTCCTCCGCTGTTGTGGTTTTTTTTGTGCTATTTATGTATTATATTTATATAGAGATATGCCATTAAATTCTGTTATTTTATTATAATATATTCAGGGGGGATAGTCTTTTCGTAGATTCGCAATGTGACTAACTAAGTTCAATTGAGTTTAGGCTACGTTTTAGTGGCTAGTTTAAGTATTAGCTGACCTGCTTCCTAGCCTAATTACACATATACGCTTTATATACACACCTTATATATTTACGATTTCGCTATACTCGTATCTCGTATCTTAGTTGAAGTTTAAACTAGTTTTTTGTGTTCTGTTCGGGTTACGGGTCGTGTCGTGTATTTTCACAAGCATAGCTCTTTTGTTCACTGAAGTATTTGCGCACAAAGATCGTTCGGGCCTAACCCCACATTTGGTAAAGGAAGTGGGCCGCATCAAACATTCATTTCTATGGTACAGAAGTAACTTAGGCATATATTACTCGTATGTAAATGCTTCTTTTTTCTTAGGTCGGGGCTAAACACTGCTATATCCAGTACATATATATATAGTGTATCCTATAACTATATAGAGTTCTTTCTTATACGGGGTTTTTGCTGCTTGAAGTCGGAAAGTCTTGTAAGAGTTTTGTTCGTTTCGCTTTCGAAAGAGATTTCTTATTTATTTTTTGTTTTTATTTAAAGCGAAACCCACGCCAGCGGCAGTTTTATTTCTATAATACAGATTTTTGGGATGCAGTTACCTCCTCGCCACAATTCCTCCTCCACTCCTCCTCCTGCTGCTGCTGCTGCTCCTCTTAGACGATGGTGGTGCGCTCGGCGCCCAGCGCTGTGGTGGTGCACGTACTGCTCCCCCCTATGCAGACTATCTGACATTTGATGTCCTCTTTGGGTAACTCTCAGGAGCTCACCGTCTCGTAGTTCCCCCCGCCGGCCAGCAGCAGTGGCGACTGCACGCACACTGCAGGTGCCACACCACCCCCCAGCGTGGTGTAGGCGGTCTGGGAGCGGGGCGACGTCAGCAGCGATTGGGCGGCGCCGATGGTGATGTTGCCGCTGGTCACCGAGCTGGTCAGCGCCGCCGAGATGCCGCTCGTGTGGAGGCTGCCCGGATGGGGCAGCGTGTTGCAGGCACTCGCCCCGCCCACGCCAGCGCCGCCGCCGCCGCTGCTGTTGGTCTGCAGCGAACCGTTGGACTGGCCGCCGAGCAGGGGCATGGTGCAGGTGGTCGTGGAGCCGTAGGGCGAGGTGGGAGAGGTGCGCGTCTCATAGGCCGGCAGATGATAGCTAGTAGCACCCACTCCTCCGGGCATGCCACCACCACCGCCGACTCCCCGGCCCGGAATACGGGTGTAGATATTCGGCGGGGTGCGGGTGGAGAGCAGCGGCGGCGGGGCGGTGTAGACGGGACGCTGGGCGGCCGGGGCACGTTGCGGCGTGTTGTACAGGCTGAAGGCGGGGTTCGTTGTTAGCGACAGTTCACCGTACTGCGTGGGGAGGGGATACAAGAGGAGGGAAAGAGTTGTTAGAGTGTTTAGTAATTATTAAAAATAAGAACAAAGTGTTGCTGCCGAATAATTAAAAAATAAAACTTTGATAGTACATTCATGGGGCAAAAATTCTGATCGAAAAGTTTCGAAAGTGACCCACAAACACCAACAACTTCTAATGAGCTTGTTAAGCATTCGAGAGAGAGAGTTGGGGAAAACAACAGGGAAAAACAAGAAAAGCTGAACAAAAGCCAAACATTTTTCAACTTTTGCTGGCGAGTGGACACACAAAAACATTTGCCTCATCAAAATTTGATGGTTTCCTCCTCCCTGGAAAACCAGACAATGATACAAAAATGTCCAGAGTACTGCAGTGGAGTGATGGGACTGTGGTGGGTCAACAGAAACTTTATTAGGGGTGGTGTCGGAAAACAAAGAAACTAATTTGGTAATTTATTTCGGCTAATTGGAAACATGAATGGGAATCAGGGATCATGGCAGAACGAAGCTTAAATACCCTGCTACTTTTGATCAAACGTTTGGTCAGTACTTCTGGATCTATTGATGGGGAAACTTCAATGGAAGAGGAACTCTTACTCTAGTATCAGTCCTCTATATTTTGCTCCTGTTCTCTGAAGTATTCAAGCACTAATCAAAAGGCTCATTCCCCTAGAAAATCCTTTCAAGTTTTCCCTTTGGCTTGTGGTTCTCTTTCTTAGCCCTAAATCAATTTGATCAAGTGTCTATAATGCGTAATAATAAGTTTCGTTACATGCAAGACAAACCCTTTCATTAGGGAAATTGGAGGCAAGTTTTTTGTACTCTGTGGTGGGAGAGAGGCGATGATTAAGGGTTAGAGTTCGTTTTGTTCTTGTAATAGTTCTGGGCGAAAAAAGTTAAGCGAATATTCTATACGGTATGAAATTCCGTTGAGAAGGCGGTAGACGCCTCCAACTCTGAATTCCGTACGTTTCTATGCGGTCGCCTGAAAGTATGCTGCATTATTTTCATAACATGTCATTATGTAGATGTCATGTCAAGACGGCTGCTTAACTACATATTTTAAGACATATTCCATATTTAAGCATATCTACATACATATGACACTTACTTCAGCAAATCTATTTCCTAATACAGATACAAGATCTATAACTAACTCAGCTTCTAACCCTAGCAGGAGGCCCTACCTCCCTTTAAACCCCTTCTGCTTCCACCATATGCAAGCGCGAAGCGGATTGAGCGGTAGGGAATAGAGGAATCCCCAAACAATTGAATCCCATTTGAATTCTCACCTGCTTCCCGAAGGTGGGC